AGGCCGGCTTGGGACACTGAGTCCCCCCCACAAGCAAGGCATGCCTGACGTACGCTGCAGGTCTCACCCAACCTCCCGTGGCCCCTCGGAGCCTCCTGCAGACAGGCGTCTGAGCAGGGTTGCCAGCCTCCAAGCGGGGCCTGGAGAGCTTCCGGATTATACCCTGCTGAGGTCCCCACCCCGAACCCCATCCCCAAATCATCAGCCCCACGTCCACCCAGGGAGCAGCAGCCTCAACGGCACACTCTGCGGCAGAGCCAGGAGTCCCGCGAGGCTCATGAGGGGACCTTGAACCTGCCAGGGGGCCATCAGGGCACCCGCGGATAAAGGCTCCCGGAGGCTCTGCTGATGCAGCACACGCTGCCCGAATGCCCTCTTGCCTTCCTCATTCAAAGCACTCTCCCCCCTTGATGCAGCTTCTGCGAGAAAAGCGACATGCCGAAAGCCTCCTTCCCTTGGCTCTGAGGTTGGGGAGAGGTGGCAGGGGAGGGGGGGGAGAGTCCCCCTCCCCCATCTTGCGTTCTGCCGCCCAGCACCCAGGAGAGCCAGTTTGGTGCAGTGGTTAGGAGTGCGGAACCGGGTTTGATTCCCCACTCCTCCACTTGCACCTGCTGAAGTGACCTTGGGTCAATCACAAGTTCTCTCAGAGCTGTTCTCTCCAGGGCAGTTCTCGAGAGAGCTCTCTCAGCCCCACTGACCCCACAGGGTGTCTGTTGTGGGGGAGGGGGAGGGAAAGGAGACTGTAAGCTGCTCTGAGACTCCTTCGGGTAGTGAAGGACGGAGTATAAATCCAATCTCTTCTTCTCGTCTACTTCTCCTTCAAGAGGGCAGGCACTGACAGAGAGCATGGGGCAGTGGTGAGGAGGCTGGACCAGGACCAGGGAGAGCCAGAGTCCAAAGAGCCACTCCGCTGAGAACATGGGCCAGTCACTTTCTCTCTCAATCTAGCCTACCTTACAGGGGTGTTGTGATGATAAAATGGGAGGGAGCCACACGCACCGCCTGGAGCTTTTTGGAGGAAAGGTGGGGTAATTGATGGAGAGACCCTTGCCTGCCTGCTTCTCCACCACTGACCGACTCTCTTTCAGGCCTCGCTAAGTTGCAGCCAATACTCCCTCTAAGCTGTGAAGTCTTGCGAGCAAAAATTCTACTTTGTCAGCTACCGGCATTAAAGTTGTGAGTGGTTTGGCTGCTGCACAAATTAGTTTGCTCTGGAGCCCCATCCTTCCTGAGCTGAGACAAAGATGTGCGAGCCGGAGGCTAAAAAACGGTGAGCTGGCTCACCCTCACTCTGCTTAGAGGGAACACTGGCTGCCGCTCATCCATTTTCTGGTGTCTGTTATAGTGGAGCTGTGTACACTGCAAGCATCACGCAGCTGGAATGGCCAGCTTCATCGATGGGGTTTTTGCAGCTTCAGCGACTGTGTAACAGGCAACGCTTCACCCGGTGCAGCTTCCCCAACATGCAAAGGAAGCAAGCTTCGGTTGAATTTCTGCCTGCTGTTCAGGTTATCTCAGAATGCCATGCAATGTGGCAGGGGATGTTGGGGCATGATTCCGGTTGTGCGGGTTGCATCGTTGGCACCCCCAGCAATGCCGCTGTTCAGGGCATTTTTGGTAGAAAAAGCCCAGCAGGAACTCATTAGCATAATAGGCCACACCCAACAGCAGAAACTCATTAGCATATTAGGCCACACCCTAACAGTGCCACTCATTAGCATATTAGGCCGCACCCCCATGTTACCAGAAATGTGGTCATCCAGCCACACCCACCTTTTGATTCTTATTCTGTTTACCTTGTTTGTTGTCAAAACCCAGGGCCTTTTTTTGGAGCAGGAACTCCTTTGCATGTTAGGCCACACACCCCTAATGTAGCCAATCCGAATGAGTTCCTGCTGTTGGGTGTGGCCTGTTATGCTAATGAGTTCCTGCTGGGCGTGGCCAACTCGGGAGCCAGCAGGAACCCCGTTCCTGTGCGTTCCTGCCCAAAAATAGCCCTGCCGCTGTTCAAAGGAGCTGCTTCAGTCTGTCCCCCATCCTGTCCAGACCTCTCTCAGGGATCAGCCAACCAGCGCAGCATTCGAACTCCGATCTGAAGCCAATCCTCAGGGCAATCTATTTCACCCAGCATGCTCTGGGCTGGACAGCCCGTCCCCATGACTCTTTGCCCCAGGGGCACGCTAGGAGATAAGGGCTGCCCACTCCAAGAAGATTTGGGGGTGGGGCTTGGGGAGGGGCCTCAGCCGGGTGCAGTGCCAGAGAGTCCGCCCTCCAAAGCAGCCGTTTGCTCCAGGGAAACTGGACTCTGCAGCCTGGAGACCGGGATGCCAGACTCCAGGCGGGACCCGACGATCCCCCGGGATTACAGCTCATCGCCAGACTAAAGAAATCAATCCCCCTGGAGAAAATAGATACTTTGGAGGGTGGGTCTCTAAGGCATCGTGCCCCACTGGGGTCCCTGTCCTCCCCAGGCTCCACCCCCAAATCTGTAGGAGCTCCCAACCTAGACCTGGCCACCCTACCTGGAGATCAGGGTTCCCCCTAAGCTGAGTGAGTGTGAGCTACCTCACCGTTTGTTAGCCTCCAGCTCACAGATTTTTGTCTTCGCTCGGAAAGGAGAGCTCCGGAGCAGACCAATTTATGCCGTAGTAGCCCAATCGCCCGCTCACAACTTAAATGCCGGTAGCTCACAGAGTAGAATTTTTGCTCGCAAGACTCCACAGCTTAGAGGGAGCACTGCTGGAGATGACTTGGAGATCTCCAGGCCCCACCCACCAGAAGACTGGCAACCCTAGCAGGAGGGAGAATCTGTCTCCGTGTGTCTCTCTCTGTCTCTGACTGTGTCTCTCTCTCTCTGTGTCTCTGTCTCTCTCTCTGTCCAGGTGCAGGGTGAGTGTGTCCAGCAGTAGAGTCTCCTGTCTTGCTGCTGACTCCCAAGAAAGCCCTCTCACGAGGCCAAGGGAGGCAGCCGGCTCAATGAGCCACCATAAAGGAAGGCAGAGGGAGAGCCAAGCAGACCTAGACTTAGGACACCATCCGGCAGGGCAGGCTTCTCCGCTGGAGGAGGAGCTGTGTGTGTCAGTGCACGCCTGCTCCAAAGTCCAGCTGCTTCTCCTGCTGCTGCTGCTGCTGATATGTATACCTGGAGCCCCAAGGACTCACCTGGGGACCTTCCACCTCCTCCCGTCAGCTGGTGCCTCCAGGCAGAGAGACCCAAGGGAGCAAACAATGCAGCCCTTGTGGGAAGAGGGGTCTGGCCCCGCCACCCACCTCGGAGAGAGCTGCCTCTTATCAGCCCTGGGAGCTGCCGGAGAGGGCGGTGGCTCCCTGCACACTCCGATAGGCTCCGGTGGCGCTGTCGCAGGGCTCGGCGGCCCCATCCTGCACCCAGGCCTTGCGCAGGTAGCAGTGTTGCCCTCCCCCTCCCCAGCACTTGTGGGAGTGTTGGGGACTCTGGCCAGCAATGCCCTTCCCAGGCAGTGCCCACTCTGGATCGGGACATCTCGCACCCAGCACAGAGGCGGGCAGTGAGATCAAAAAGGGGGAAATCTCTGTTAAAAACACACAGTTCCCCCGTGACGGGAACCCTGGCAGGAACCGCACTCCCTCCCTTAAGGGAAGAAGAGGAAGAGGAAGAGGAAGAGGAAGAGGAAGAGGAAGAGGAAGAGGAAGAAGAAGAAGAAGAAGAAGAAGAAGAAGAAGAAGAAGAAGAAGAAGAAGAAGAAGAAGAAGAAGAAGAAGAAGAAGAAGAAGGGGAGGAGGAGGAGATTGAATTTCTACCCTGCCCTTCGCTACCCAAAGGAGTCTCAGACCAGCTTACAATCTCCTTCCCTTCCCCTCCCCACAACAGATACCCTGTGACATAGGTGGGGTTGAGAGAGCTCTTTTGAGGGATGCCCTTGAGAGATCAGCTCTGAGAGAACTTGTGACTGACCCAAGGTCACCCAGCTGGCTGCACGTGGAGGAGTGGGGAAATCAAACCCGGTTCTCCCAGATTCCGGGCTCCTAATCACGACACCAAATTGACTCTCAGTCTCTCTTCCCTCCCCACCCGAAGGGGTCGATTCAGGCAAGAGAGAGGCACCCACAAAAGGAGGTTTGCGCCTGGCTGAGGCACTGGGGAAGATGTCGCCCCCGTGGAGATGCTTGGGGGGGGCAGGCCAAGCGGAGAGAGGGTCGCAATTGTCCAGGTTGGCATCTCGGGAACTGCCCGGGCAGCAAAGGCCCCTCACTGGGGGGGGACAAGTGCCAAGAAACAATGGGACCTCGGCAGGGATGTGGGGGGAGCCCAGCTCCTGGTCCCCGGCAGCCGCACGCGGGGCGGGAGACCCCCTGTGGAACGTCGAAGGGGGAGGAGGGGGAAGCCACCACAAGCCCTCCTGGGCAGACTGAGCGCTCTCCGCCGGCCGGCCGCCCAGGGGTTTCCCAGATTGCAAGAGGCCTCGCGAGGTGACCTTGTGGGGGCAGATGAGAGCATTCCCGTACCAAGACCCATAAACCCCCCATCTCCAGAGAGACCCAAAGTCTCAGGTTGCCCAAAGAGAGGCCAAGCACTGAGGAACCCGACGGATCCACTCCAGGCCAAATTGGGCTCCCCTCCCCTCCCCTTAGGGGGTACACCCAGAAGTACCCATGGCCCAGGCAGTTGCCCTGGAGTGGCAATATAGGAGCGCCCGTGAAGCCACGGAGTGGCCCCAGAAGGGCACCCCAGGAAGATCTCTTGCAGGGTGCACCCTCTCAGCGCAGTGCAGCTGCAAAATGCCTCTCCTCTCCCCCCCCCCGGCACACAGCCCCTCTGGGGGTGCAATCCCGGGCTGTTTAAAGTCCACTAGAAGAGATCTTTCCCCGGCATACCCCTGGGACTTGGAGTGCCTTTTGGACAGCGCCTAGCACCTGACGCAGGCACCTCGAAACCATTCAAGCCAGCAATTGCACGAACCCCCCCCCCGAATCCCGTCCCACGCCACCCCCTTTCAAGCCAAGGCAAGGGTTTGCCCTACCTGTGCCGGACTGCAGGGGGTGCTGTGGAGCACTGGTCCCCTCTTGTTCCTGGGTGCCCCTCAGTCTCGACCTCTCTCTTGCTGGGTTTCCAGGGGTCCTGGCCGGTCTAGGCAGCCCTCGTCCTCGCAAGTCTCCTGCTCATCAGGCAGCGGGTGGGGGCCGAGGGAGGGCTGAGGCAGGAGTGGGTGTCACCTGACGGGCAGGCTTGACCTTTGCCGGAGCAGCTGCCTCCAGGGCCGGACCCCGGGCTGCACAATCACTCAGTGCAAACTGTCTTCGCGGACAGCTCCAGCAGCAGCCGTAGCAGGACAACCGGCTCCCCTCCACGCCCTGGTCTCACAGCCTCCCCGGCCTCCGCTGCCTTCGAGACAAACAGGAGCATCTCCGCCCCAGAGGCCAGAACCCACTCACCCCAGAGGCAGGGCCGAAAGTCACCTGGGATCAGCCCCGGAACCTTTGGTTGCAATCCCGTGACTCAGCCCCGGAACACGCCAGGCACACGGCCTCCTCTCCAGTCCGCCCCGGGGCCTATCTAGGTCAGCCGTGTTTACTCTGACTGGCAGCTGCTGCTCTCCCACCTTTCGCAAAGCCATAACAGAGCAAGGAGTGTTTCTGGGCACGTGCAGAGCACCAGGCTGAATAATCACAAGCCGTGCACCTAAAATTCTGCTGGGGGATTTCCAGGCCAGGCGGCTTCAGGCGAGACTAAATTCCATTCTCAGAACTGAGCTCCAGAGACGGAGCTGGAGATCTGGCACGTGCCGACCCCAGAGAGCTCATGAGACTCCACCCCCCTGCTTTTGGACCCATACGAAGTTCACTTCCCAGCAAGGCTCCCTCTAAGGTGTGGGGTCTGGTGAGCAAAGATTCTACTTTGTGAGCTCCTGGCATTAAAGCTGAGAGCGAGCGATTTGGCTGCTGCATCAATCAGTTTGCTCTGGAGCCCTCCTTCCTGAGCTAAGACAAAAATGTATGAGCTAGAGGCTAAAAAACTGTGAGCTAGCTCACACTTACTCAGCTTAGAGGGAACACTGCTTCCCAGGTAGCGAAGACCTCTCTCCCATTTCAGAAGGGCTGCTCAGGGAAACGCCCCTGGCCACAGATTTCACAACTCAGGAGAAAAGCATCGTCATCTGTTCTAGGGAGTATACCGGGAGAATGGGCACACCTTTCTCCTGCGGCTGGTCTGGCCATCTGTTGCAAGCCAAATTCCCTCCCCGCCATCCCGTTGCCCTTTTAGACCAGGGACAAGGGGCTCTGTAGCCCAAGACTTACTTACTTCCTTCCTTCCTTCCTTCCTTCCTTCCTTCCTTCCTTCCTTCCTTCCTTCCTGTTTGGTGTGGTGGTTAAGTGCGCGGACTCTAATCTGGGAAAACCGGGTTTGGTTCCCCACTCCTCCACTTGCAACTGCTGGATGACCTTGGGCAAGCCATAGTTCTGATAAGAGCTGTCCTTGAAAAAGAGCTGTTTCTGTCAAGAGCTCTCTCAGCCCCACATACATCACAGGAGGGTGTCTGTTGTGGGGAGGGGGAGGGAAAGGAGTCTGTAAGCCACTCTGAGACTCCCTTGGGTAGTGAAGGACGGGGTATAAATCCAATCTCTTCTTCTTCTTCTTCTCTTCACCCTTCCTTCCTTCCTTCTTTCCTCCCTCCCTCCTCCGTCCTTGAAGGACATCCCTTCTACCTAGTAGTAGAAACAGGAGGACCATTTTGGATGCCCCCCCCCCGCTTGCTCCTGCGCTTCCTGTGCTGACCTCTGGTTCTCCCACCTGTCCTCTCTCACTCCTGCAGGGTGAGAGTCAGATCTGCTTTCACACATGCGCTTAGTGTGGTGCAGTTTCCCTGGAGCTGTTAGCCTGGTTTTAGTTTTGCCTCCCTAGTGACTGTTTCAGCCACCTGACCCAAACAACGCTGGCCTCTTGGGGCCACCCAAGTTCACGGACATTCTCAGCCTGCTCTGGGTGGGACCCTCCTCCCCACGATGGTGAGGCAGGGTGCGGACGGCACCGGCTGCTGACCATCTGGATCTCTGGGCCAAACAGTTCGGGCTGGGTGAGTTTTAAAGCCTGCTTTACCCCAAGTAGGATGGGATCCCCGAGGTCACCGTATTTCTCCCTCACCCCATCCGGTTCTCTTGCTGCAAAGAGCCACCTGTAGATTTTTATAATGTTGTTTCATCAACTCCTGTGCAGGGGATTCCACAACTACACAGGAATCGGATGCTAATTTTTTTTCAAGAAGAGGAGGAGGAGGAGGAGGAGGAGATTGGATTTATACCCCATGGCCCTTCACTACCCAGAGGAGTCTTAGAGCAGCTTACAAACTCCTTTCCCTTCCCCTCCCCACAACAGACACACCCTGTGAGGTAGGTGGGGCTGAGAGAGCTCTGAGAGAACTGCCCTTGAGAGAAGAGCTCTGAGAGAACTTGTGACTGACCCAGGGTCACACCAGCAGCTGCAAGTGGAGGAGCGGGGAATCAAACCCGGTTCTCCCAGATTAGAGTCCGCGCACTTAACCACCACACCAAACTGAGTGAACCCATGCCACGGGAAGATGGGATTTCCCTCCGATTTCTCCCCAAATATTCAGATTTTGCTGCCACTTCTGAAATAAAAATGTATTAGTCTTTAAGGCAGCACAAATCTCCTGTTCCTTTGGGGGACTGGTCTATATGGGAGGCTGGTCTATGGGGGGGCTGTTCTATAAATCTGAATAATAAATAAAATCAGGGGTCATTTCCTGTGGGAGCGCAGAGGAGCGGAGCTCAGGCAGTAACGAGCCCAGGGGGCGGGCACATGCAACAAGCCCCGCCCCCTGCTCCCACCAGCCCTCACTCGGGCCATGAGGAGCAAGAAGCAGCCAGGTAAGTTGCAGACCCCCCCCCCGGACCCCCGGTCCAAAACAGTCCAGTGGCACCTTTAAGACCAAGTTTTATTCAGGTACAAGCTCTCCCTCCTCTGCGAGGACAGATCTGCCCATTCTCCCCCCCCCCCCAATAGCTGGCAATCCAAAACAG